TGAGCAGACATTTAAATATAATTATATCTTGTATGACGGCAAAATGGAAGTAAGTTCTTTTCGAAAGTGCAAATCATTTATGTAACAACAACACTGTTACAACATTGCTTACAATAAATATTGGTATTGACCAAATAGGTTTATACTAATCTTTCTCATGATCAATAAAAATGACTATTTCATTGGAGACCTATGATTTCAAGTGTGGATATTAACTGCACTATAATTTTTTTTCAATCTATCTTAAATTAAAATCGAACTAGAAATTAGCTTATTTTAACATGAATACACTTTGAAATTAGGGGTACGCAATAGACTTACCTCCACGTGGTGCACCCTGGTCAACGTATCTTCGTACGGCAAAAAAGTCTATCACTCGGCATTTGATTTAACTTCGATTTATTGTGATTAGCTTTAAAAAAGGCTATAAGAGAAATCGCCCTCGTCAGGGCGAATCACAACGTCTTCAGATCCTCCAGTGGAATGCTGAAGGGATGTAACCGGACAAAAAGATCCAAGTAGAGAAAATCCTACAAACCTTTGTAGACATTTTCCCAATAATGGAAGCAAACATTTGGGATGACAAACTGAAGTACTACCAATTCTCAGGTTACACCCTGTACCTTCTACCTAAATACCGGCAAGTTGCAAGTGGAGTTCTAACTGGAGAAAACGAAGGCCTCACTTTACACTACGATCTAATCAAGAGTATGGGCTCGACACAAAACATATGTGAAATAATCAGATTAAATGTTTGGAAATGTCAAAACCATTTCAAGAAATATGCAGTCAATAATCCACCCCAGAATTGTCCTAACTTTGACTTTCTGAACATTTCACACAAACTATAGTACTGGAGACTTCAACGCCCACTCCACCAGATGGGGCTACAAGGATACAAACATAGCTGGAAAGGAAATTGAAGACATGCTAAACAGCAACCTCTAGAACTTATTTGCAGCAATGAGGATCCGGCTACAAACTTGCACTACAATGGAACTAGAACAACTCCTGACTTACTCTTGGCTTCAAGCGACATCAGTAAGCTCACACGCCGCAAAATAATTGACGATCCTGGTTCTGCTCACAAACCAATCATTGCTAGTATTACCATCGGCGGCAAAAGCATGACAATGAAAGTGTAAACTAAGAAATCATGGAACTTCAAGAAGGCTGTCTGGCCTATATTCCCGATCATGGATCATGGAACTTCATGAAGGCTGACTGGCCTAGATTCACAAACCTTTTGTCAAGAAGGCTGACTGGTCTAGATTCACTAATCTTTTAGACTCAAGAAGGCTGACTGGCCTAGATTCACAAACCTTCTAGACCAAAGAAGGCTGACTGGCCTAGATTCACAAACCTTTTAGAGATTGAACTTCACACAAGTCCCTTCAACTTCAACCAACATCCTCGAAGCCTGACTGGTCTAGATTCACTAACCTTTTAGACAATGGAAGTCCCCTCAACTTCAACCAACATCCTGACAAACTTTGCGATCGTCCCCTCAACTTCAACCAACATCCTGACAAACTTTGCATCGATATGATTCACAAACCTTTTAGAGAATGAACTTCACACAAGTCCCCTGAACTTTAACCAACATCCTGACAAACTTTGCAATGATATCATGAATATTATGATCCGTTGAGTAAAGAAAACTATTCTTCGAGTATGATCAGATGTGCAAAGAAAACTATTCCCCGAGGCAAATATAAACACTATCGAGTGTTTTGGTCTAGGCACCTTGAGGAAGCACACTATCGATTGTTTTGGTCTAAACACCTTGAGGAACTGGAGAGAAAGCGGGACGCCCTTCGCAACACTACTGATTAGACTGGAAGAACGGAAGACGTACAAGCCTGGAGACGACAATCAGCTGTCCTTTGACATCTCCATCTCAAATATCAACTATCAAAGCTATAGCAAATGCACTTTCAAATTCATGGGCAACCTCCAAAACAACAAAGGAAGACCCAAGAAAGAACCTATACGTTTAAAAACAAACTGCTTACCACGGAGTTTGAAATAGCTAACTGCTTTGCGAGGTTCTATTCCCACAAGCAAAAGAAAAACCCTTTTGTCAGAAAATCTTCAAGAGATTTAAAGATACAAGTAAGACAGTTTGGTGAAATTAAGGAAGACGCAACACCAAATAATGTACTCACTGAACCTCTCAAGCCTTGCAAACTTAATGCTGCGATAAAACAGCTAAAGTGCAAGAAGTCTCCTGGCGAAGACGGTATTCATCCAAAATTTCAAATTAGAATGGGACCAAAAGCCAAGAAAACCATGCTGACGCTTTTCAACAAAATCTGGGAGACTAGTCTCGTACCTAACCAATGGAAGGTACCATAGTAATACCAGTACTAAAAAATGACAAACACCCTAGCAACTTTGACAACTATAGGCCTATTTCCCTCACAAGCGTTCTGACTAAACTTAAGGAAAAAATGGTTAGCTGACCTAGTTCCTTGAGACCAACAATATTCTTAGGAGTAAACAAGCAGGTTTTAGCCCGCAAATATCAACTAACCAACAAGTAGCCACTTTCTCCCAACACATCAGAAATGCACTTGATGCAAAAAATACTCTTACGGATGTTTTTGTCGATTTCAAATTGGCATATGACATAGTATGAAAAGAGAAGCTAATTCTAAAATTTGCAAAGATTGGTATTAAGCATAACATGCTAAACTGGATAAAAACTTTCACAGGGAGCTGTCACAAGCTGCACTGTTTCAATGTCTCCATCAATAACATAGCTGAATTGGTACAGATAGTCACGGACATCAAGTGCTTACTTTATGCAAATGATCTTGTTCTATGGAGAGGACAGAAAGTGCTCTTGATAGTGCACTTAAGCTACTATAAAACTGGTGCGACAACAATGGAATGGTAATCAACACCGCAAAAACTGCAATCCAAACATTTTCTTTGGCCCAGCACAGCTTAAATCCGCTACAAAGGTACAAGGATACTACCCTAGAAAAAACCAATGAGTTCACTTATCTCGGAATGACTTTTGACACAAAACTCACTTGGAAAAGTCACATTGCTAAAATAGCAGAACGAGTCTCCAATAGACTGAATGTACTGAAGCGTCTTGCTGGTAGCGTATGGGGTTGTGCACGCTCAACTCTCAGCACCATTTACAAGATGTTTATTCAGCCAATAATGTTGTATTGCTGTAAGCCACACATTACAGGCACAGAGGTGACTCTCAAACTACTCGAGAAGGCACACAACAAGGCATTACGACTAATTACGGGAGGGATAAAATCAATTCCCATTGATGCAATGCCCCTTGTTACAGGAAACACCACAATATGTTCCTTAATCACAGAGAAGTCCTTGATCCTGTGTAAGAAGCTACCACGTAATCCAGTGTATAAGGTCATCAGCATCTATGAGAATAGAACAAGACATCTGAAAACGCAATCTGATCTAATAAAGAAAGCCATAGAACTAAAGAAAGCATTACAAATTTATGACAAACCAAAAAGCCTCTCTCTCCCCATGAACAAAGTAGCAGACACTGATGTAATGTGTTGCATCCAACTGCTTGACTTCTTAAGGAAATAAACACCCCTCCAGAGCAAATGCGCTCTCTGGTCCTTGAGACAATCAATGTCAACTATCCTACAGATCAATGGATTGAGACAATCAATGTCAACTATTCTGCAGATCAATGGCTGAAGTCTTCACTGATGGGTCATACATAGAAAACCAAGCAAAGGTGCTGGTGTCTATTCTTAACTCTTCTCTTTCTACGCAGCAGTGGGACATAATAGATTCGCTTTTGAAGGAGAAGAAGAGGCTATTTATATATCACTTGGCCAATAATGTTGCCTGTGTACGAAATTCACCAAAGCAGCAATTCTTTCGGACTCACAGTTAGCAATACAATCAATTGTAAACAGAGAGCCACTCAAAACAGTTGAGATAAACGAATGTAAAAAACTCTATCCGCTGCTGAGAGAGAAGAACAAAACAGTGGTCCTACAATGGTTGAGAGAGAAAACAAAACAGTGGTCCTACAATGGATTCCTGGTCACTGTGGCATTAAAGGCAATGAGATTTATCAGCTGCTGAGAGAGAAAAACAAAACAGTGGTTCTACCATGGATTCCTGGTCACTGTGGCATTAAAGGCAATGAGATTCGATTCCTGGGCACTGTGGCGTTAAATGCAGTGAGCTTGTTGACATACTTGCTAAGAAGTTGAAAACGATTTTGCAATGCACAGACCGGTCGATGTCTTTCCACACAATGAAGGCCTTAATCAGGAGAGAATTTAACACCTCAAGGTGCGATGAACTTAAAGCTCGAACAAAGGAGAAACAGTGGACAGTGGCACTCTCCAATATAGCCGACTGGGCAGGAATCGAAGCCGTTGCTGAGTTTGGACGACGTACCGGACACGATTGCTTGGAAAAACACCTTCACAGATTGGAAGTATACACTCAAATCACATGCCCTCTATGTAACCTAAGGAGGAAATGGAGAAGACCCACCTGATTCGGTGTCTAGCGGAGGAAATGGTGATGACCCACCTGATTCGGTGTCCAGCTCTAAAGACAACGCAGACCCACCTGATTCGGTGTCCAGCTCTAAAGACAAGGACATGGAGTCTGATTGTGAAACCTACAGGAGGAAATGGAGAAGACCCATCTGATTCTCTACAGGAGAAAATGGAGAAGACCCACCTGATTCGGTGTTCAAAGGAGGAAATGGAGAAGACCCACCTGATTCGGTGTCTAGCGATCAACCCACATGCCCTCTATGTAACCTACAGGAGGAAATCTGGCGAAGCACCTTCACAGATTAGGAGTATACAATCAAAACACCTTCACAGATTGAGAGTATACACTCAACCCACATACTCTATGTAACCTACAGGAGGAAATGGAGAAGTCCCACCTGTCTATGTGACCTACAGGAGGAAACGGAGAAGACCCACCATATGTAACCTACATGAGGAAATGGAGAAGACCCATCTGATCTGTAACCTACAGGAGGAAATGGAGAAGACCCACCTGATGTGAAACCTACAGGAGGAAATGGAGAAGACCCATCTGATTCTTAATCTAAGAGAGTATACACTCAACCCACATGCCCTCTGTGTAACCTACAAGTATACACTCAAATCACATGCCCTCTATGTAACCTCCAGGAGGAAATGGAGAAGACTTACCTGATTCCGTGTCCAGCCCTTAAGACAAGGGCGGAAATCCAGAGATACTGAAAGCAAGAAGAAAACTAGTGAACTGCTATATATGCCCCCCCCCCTTGTGAAAGCTGAAGTCAGTTAAGGGGCTAATGGTAAATATCATAAAGCCTGCCATTCGAAATAATAACTATAATAATAATAATAATAATAATTGATAGTTGGATTTAATGCAGAAAAACGCATTTAGATTACGTAACTACTTAGCAGTTTTCAACTTTATTTATGCTTCAAATCTTAATGATTTATTTAATATCTTCAATTTCAGTTACCTAAATCAATTAGATTGACTTCATTTATTGCTATTTCGACCTTCTTATAATTTTATTCGGCACAATAGGGTGCACAATTGCATATATACTCTCGGGCAATTTATTTTATTTATAACTTTCTATCGCCACAATTAACTGTAGTTTGAAATTGTTTCATTTAGTTGCCATTGGAATCTCTCAATTGATTTTCAGTATGGATATAGAAAAGCTGAAGAGAAATACATTTTAAAATCCTCATTAGCTGATTAAAAAAGCGGAAAGTGAGAAAGTCAATTGTTTAAATAAATTTAAATGAGAATGAATTCAAATCATTTTTAAATTCACCATTTCATTTTAATTCATTTAAGCACCTGCTAAAATTGTATTTGTACGTGTTTCCATACTAATCTATCGGAAATATAAATGTCAATTTACATTGGTTAAAACAATCAACTAACCATCTGAATAAAAATGCTTTAGGTGAACAGTTAATGGCTATTTTAATTAGCAAAATTATTGAAGACGACATATTTCACTCTGGAAGTATGAACTGAATGACACAATTAAATCAATCTAATACACCTACTGTTGAGTCTAAATAAGTAGGCTTATTAATACAAAATTGTACACAAATATCTCCTCTCGTTGACCTCAACCCAGTTGGGAAACAATGAATATTCAAATTTCGCTTTTTTTTAATTTGCTGCTGAATATTATTTTAGTACTCCTTATATATCCCTTTGCTATTGTGCCAACAGTTATCTCAACCAATTTCACCCTTCTGAAACAATAACATTTGTTTTCTCTCAGGCTTTCTGAAAATTTTATATATAAATAAGCAGTGAAGGATTCATTGTGACAATTTTTGGTGG